TTCTGTCTGTCACAAATCGTCCTGTCTGTTTTAAATCGCTACATTACGTACGTGATATTCTCGTTTCAGAGTTCCTCTCTGAAACCCTGTTCATCTCTGTTGACCCATATATGAGGTAAGCAGAACTACAAGCATTTAAGTGCATGGAATTTCTATTGGTTTATGATATAGTGGGTAAACGGTTTTTTAATGTATTTACAGAACTAACAACGCGGGTTGAAAAACAATAACTTAGCCAAATAGGGAGAATAATTATTCAAAGGGGGTTTAGCTCTGAAGGGAAAATGACCCTATTGCGGATTAATTCTCCTCGTGAATTAGTTTTCTTTTTTGCTGAATCCTACTATCTGTATCCCTATATGTATTCCAGGAAGGCTTGAAAACTTACACTGCTGTTTTTAATTTGATATATATACTTTCTTGTTTTTCAACACAGGATCTTCGGACGTTCCCTTAAGGAAGGAGATACAATGATTGGCGAGGTAGTCGGTCGGTAGGTCTCAATCGAGAAGATGATTCTGTTATACTGTAGTGATAGAAACTTTGTAGCTTAGATTGGAGTGAATAGTATGCGGTAGGTAATGCTGATTTTTTTTGAAATCTGTAAAAATAACAACGGTAGTATTACGTAACGGACCCCAGACCCCAGATTTGCACTTTCCTACACACAAAATTGTTCGGATGTCCTCAATATGTCTTCAAGGAATCATTATTGCTTGAATATTATGCAGTTTGCCAAGTAACCTCAACCTCAGGAATTATTTCATCACGTTTTCAGAGGTTTGACAATTTGACAATCATATGGGGTCAAAGGTCAACCCCATGTTCATGCCTGCAGGCCTCATCTTTTTTGCATAAATTATGATAATGAGCTGGAATTTTTAAACACTTAATCATGCCAAAATAAACGTCTTAATATGTTTAACCAATATATGTGCAAAGGTCACTGAAAGGATGCAAAAAGGAATATAAATTTGAAAGGAAACCAAATGGGGTCCATTTGGACCCCGTTCGGGCATTAATGTCACAAAAAAGATCGGGTGTTTGAGGGTTAAATAACTGGGTAAAACTACTAGACGTTTCAGAACATTTACCACTTTTTGCCATTGACTGATGAAAATTGGTTGATGCTTTCAAACGTCTGAGAGTTTTGAAATCCTATCCAGTTTCAATTCGAGTAACATTGCGTGCATCTCATTTGCTGAATGTCTTTTAATCGTTGAACGCTGTACTGTATGTTTCATTCTGTACAGGGTGATCGAGTCAAAAAGCACCAGGTACCCCGTGGGAGCCACAGTTCTGGCCGGGTACGGTTGGCGCACGCACGGTGTCGTACACGAGGACGAGAAACATCCACTCCCCACCGGGCAGCTTCGTGCGGTTCCCGCTGACTATCCGAAGGAGCTGTCGCTTGGGCTCCTATTGGGGGTTACCGGTATGCCGGGGTAAGAAATGATTTATGACCCGCAATGTTTCTCATCGTTTCTAAAATCATTTCTGTTTTAACCTTTCCTGTTTTAGCCCTTCATTTTCCCTTCAAAACGTTTTTTTTTTAATTTCTGTCTTCTTTCTTTGTCCGCCTCTTATCGCCTTCTATATAGAACCGTGACTCATAAGCATAGTGTTGTATTCACGACTGTGTTGGCAGATCGGCTATACTAATTTCTTGGATATACCAAGTGCTGTATCAAGAAAAGTGTTCGCGATTATCTAACCGTCTTTGATGGGTCAAACATTACCGTGAAAATGATACAAGTCATTGACTGTGACACTGAATATAAGTTTAAATCATCTAAGACCAGCGTGAAATGTACGATGCACTTAAGCGGCCTAAAGCATCTAAACACTAGAAAGGCCGACATTTGCTTGGGAGCAAATACAGCATATTTCAGTCCATCTCCCTCCCACGCAAACGTGGACTATTCCAAACTTACCCCAGTGCAAAACTGGCAAAGGTTCTCAAATAAATGAATTAAATAGTAGCTATATGAGAACAAAGATGCAACAACAAGTACTTTGAATCTCGAAAGCTTTACTAATCTTATAAGAGGTATGCAAAAACTAACAATGATGAGATTTGATACATTTTGAAGGTCTTAGGCACATAAAATTGAATGTGTGAGTCATTACGCACCACTTAGGTGCAATGTGACCTCAGGTAACCGGCAATAGAACACGTGTTCCATGGATGGAACCGGCCATTCTTTAGATAGAACATGGAACGGGTACAGCACTTTTGGCCCTTTTTTTGCTGAAAATAGCCATTAAAGTCCCCCAAATGAGTCATTTGGAAGTGGTGTATGCCAAATACATGACTGCTATTCTGTAGACACATGTTCAAGGTACCCTTATACCGAATGTCATATCATTTGGTTGTAATACCAGGGCTCAGGATCCAAAAATCAATTTTTTGTCGAAAAATGCTCCAAAAAACCTTCATAAAAATTTTTCAAAGGCATATTTCAAAAAAATGAAAAAAAAACGTCTGGGGTTATTTGCCCACTCTACCTCCATGCCAAATTTCAGGTCATTTGGCTAAATGATGGCGGAGTTGAATCCCTTTGACTGTTTGGCAGGAGGAGAAGGAAAAGGAGGAGGAGAAGGAGAAACATGAGGGAACACAATATATTTCATCCATACCATGGTATGGACTGAAATATAAATAGCAGAAAAGATTCCTCCCCGGAGCACGAAACGGGACAACGCCCTCGTGTCTCCAGAACTACAATTTCACAAGGTCAAGCACGGTTCTGGGCAGTCTAGATTTGCCCCAGGCACAGTTTGGGACAACACATGGTTCGGGACACAAAATGAGCCATGTCTCCCTCACTCAAATTTGTTCGTCTTAAATCCTTTTTTCCCTTTTGTTTCCTTTTTCCTCTATCACCCATGTTCTTATCTCTTCCTTTTATTATCTCATTTCTTTCTTGCACAACCATACATCCGTATATAATTTGTTTTTGTTTAGAATGACGGCGTACTTCGGACTTCTTGACATCTGCCAGCCAAAGGAAGGAGAAACCCTTCTCGTGAATGCCGCCGCGGGGACTGTCGGGAACTTGGTGGGACAAATCGGCAAGATCAAAGTAATCAACTTTTTTATTTATCCCTAAAGAAAATCCACTCTTAATAGCGTTTGGAAATTGAATAATAATGAATCTTTACTGCTTTTCTGGTGTAACATTTTTGGATATAGAAACAAATGCATAGCGTTTTCAATATGCTACATCCGTTTGTTACAGGGATGTAAGGTGGTCAGCTGTGCAGGAACTGATGACAAGGTCACCTGGCTACGTGAACTCGGTTTTGACTACGCCTTCAACTACAAGACTTGTTCTCTGGACGAAGAACTCAAGAAAGCCGCACCTGAGGGCATTGATTGTTACTTCGACAACGTAAGTGATACATCAATGGTTTGACTATTTGGCACATTAATGATTTAGACCTGTGTTATAGATAGACCATGCCAGGCGACTTTACTGGGAAATAGTGTTGCTTCGCCCACAAGGGGACTACCTGACCAACTCGGTTGGGTTAAGGCGGCCTAGGCTGATATTCATGTTCGAGTTCCGCCGTGTGTCTGCACGATTGCCACAAACATGTTTCGAACCCGAATCATGTTCCACCATGTTCGATATGACGTCATTCGAATAGAACGTGTGTTCGAATTCGGGGTTACCGGCGGTCATTTGTATGTTTCCCCTGTAAACCCGCGTTGTTACGCATTTTATTCACGGAGTATGACTTAAACGGCTTTACGCTTAGCTGAAAACAACATAATTCATCTTTAGAGTAATCCATGTTTACGTATTATCACTTTTTTATCAAAATTGTCCGAGGCTATTTTGCATATAAGTCGAAATTTTTTAACTGTGGCGATTATTTAACAAAAAATGACAGAAAAATAGCCGTTTCTGTCGTTTTTGGCCCAAAAAAACAATGTAACTGTCATTTAAAACAAAATAGCCTCGGACAAAAATAATAAATAGGGGGTTGGCTTTCTACTTGCAAAATATCATGATGAAAGGTGTTGTTACCGCTTGGGCGTAAAGCCATGAAGTAAACAGCTTTTCTTTAACCAAAATGTTGATTTTTAACCCAAAAATTCAGAAGTAGTAAAAACAAAATAACCTTTATTCAATGTGTTTCAAGTACTACTAGAACTGTGTGAAGTTAAGTTGTGATGCGACCAAGCTATCAAAAGTTACAGCCATATGTATGAAATACTAATTATAGTTGGCCATAGGCTGCCTTAACCCAACCGAGCAATATCATGATTCTACATTACCTGATTACCCCCAAAAGTAATAAGTAGTCACCTTTGTTTTAGGTCATGAAAAATATATATTGGCATGGTAATCAATTAAAAACAACGTTCTAGATTGTTAACTTAGTTCATAACATGAAGACAAAAAAAAGGCTAGGGTCGGAATGTTTTTTTTTTTTTTTTGAGGGACGGTCTGGAAACAGGAAACACAATATTGCTAGGTCCACTTGCTGTGAGGTCATGGCAATCAGTGGTAATGCCTCAGACCCTGATACTTTCAATCTACGGATGACTATCCTCTGCAATAAAATACAAAATACTGAGTTGAAAGTAGAGTAATAAAAAGATATAATATGAGTACAGACTTCATCAAGAAAACTTTAACTGGAAATCGAAACTTGTACATCCCTACAAACCTAGTGCTAACTCAAGTGTACAATCACTTCCCGATGTTAGTTACTGACTACGTACTTCGTCTAAATATACCATCAAAGTTAATGCGATAAAAATAACAACAGAAGAATTAGGTAGGCTAACCCAACCGAACAACAATGTAAGAAAAGTAACTCATGAGAACAAAACCGTGGGTGTTGTACAACATATTAAGTTATATTTTGTTATGGATTTCCAAGAAAACATAAATGTCTATGTGTACTAACAACGAAAGGATAGTCAATTTGATAAATAACTGAACTAACAACAACAACAAAGAAATAAAAAAAGATGACGTGAATAAGGCGACTGTGTAATATATATATCCACTACAACAGAAGAAATGTTTTCAAAACAAAGTGATTATATAATATGCAAAAATAAAGGCAACAATACATAAGGCAATGAACAATACATACCACGAATAAGTTATGTATACAATCCAAACCGATCATCTGATACTCCCTTTTAAAAATGCAGGAATAAAAGAGATATTCTAAACCAAACAACTTGCGATAACTGATAGTGTGGTACTACTATCATACTAGTGATAGTCTTCTAGTGAACATCGATCCTGTTGGCTTTCTTGCCTCCATGCAGGTTCTTTGCACATCTTGTACTAAAAGGTTCTCAGATTATGCGTCAAAAAGTTTTATAACTTGTGGCCCTAAACATCATCCCACAGCCTCCATGCAGTGTCTTTGGTATATCTTACACTAAAAAGTTTTCATAATACGCATCAAACTTTTTATCATAATTTTTGGCCCTAAAAAGCATCCCACAGTCTTCACTCCTTTAGGGTTGCTCCTTTGTGTGTTTGCATGTGCCTCTTGAAACTAAACAGCTAACTGAACTGCCTGCCGGACTCCTCATACATGTAGGGTTTCTCCTCGGTGTGCGTCCGCATGTGTTTTTTCCGCATGTGTGAGTCCCAAGATCAGTAAAATGCCTACTGCACTATTCACACTTGCAGGGTTTCTCCCCAATGTGAGTTCGGATGTGCATTTTTAGATTACCCAGCTGACTGAACTGCCTGCTGCACTCCCCACACCTGTATGGTTTCTCCCCAGTGTGAGTCCGCATGTGAGTCTTCAGATTACTCAGCTGACTAAACTGCCTGCCGCACTCCTCACATCTGTAGGGTTTCTCACCAGTATGAGTTCTGATGTGCTTCTTTAGATCACCCAGCATTCCGAACTGCTTGCTGCACTCCCCACACATGTAGGATTTCTCACCTGTGTGAGTCTGCATGTGAGTCTTCAGATTACACAGCACACTGAACTGCCTGCTGCACTCCCCGCACATGTAGGGTTTCTCACCTGTGTGAGTCCGCATGTGTCTCTTCAGATTACACAGCACACTGAACTGCCTGCTGCACTCCCCACACATGTAGGGTTTCTCACCTGTGTGAGTCCGCATGTGTCTCTTCAGATTACACAGCACACTGAACTGCCTGCTGCACTCCCCACACCTGTAGGGTTTCTCCCCAGTGTGAGTCCGCATGTGTGTCTTCAGAGCACTAAGACAACCAAACAGCTTGGCACACTCCTCACACCTGAACACTTTCACACCTTTGTCCTGCCTCCCGGTTTCCTCTCCAAACTCCTCACAGCTTCCTCCTTGCCAGGTGGAAACAGTGTTGGCAGAACCCCCTGCTGATCCACTCTTGACGTCATCCAAGCCTGCTGTGCTATCTGTTGTTGCCATGTCTACGAGAGCTGGATTAACCTCTGTAAATCTGTAATCCCCAATGTGAGTTCGAATGTGCTTTTTTAGATTACCAAGCTGACTGAACTGCCTGCTGCACTTCTCACACTTGTGGGGCTTCTCTCCTGTATGAGTCCGCATGTGAGTCTTCAGATTACTCAGCTGACTAAACTGCCTGCCGCACTCCTCACATCTGCAGGGTTTCTCACCAGTATGAGTTCTGATGTGCTTCTTTAGATCACCCAGCATTCCGAACTGCTTGCTGCACTCCCCACACATGTAGGATTTCTCACCTGTGTGAGTCTGCATGTGAGTCTTCAGATGCTCCAGCTGACTGAACTGCCTGCTGCACTCCCCACACATGTAGGGTTTCTCACCTGTGTGATTCCGCATGTGTCTCTTCAGATTACACAGCACACTGAACTGCTTGCTGCACTCCCCACACCTGTAGGGTTTCTCCCCGTTGTGAGTCCGCATGTGTGTCTTCAGAGCACTAAGACAACCAAACTGCTTGTCACACTCCTCACACCTGAACACTTTCACACCTTTGTCCTGCCTCCCGGTTTCCTCTCCAAACTTCTCACAGCTTCCTCCTCGCCAGGTGGAAACAGTGTTGGCAGAACCCCCTGCTGATCCACTCTTGACGTCATCCAAGCCTGCTGTGCTATCTGTTGTTGCCATGTCAACGAGAGCTGAATCAACCTCTGTAAAAAATGGAACAAGCCATCTATAAAACATGCTGCAATATGTTACCCGGTAGTACTTACTCTCCAAGGAGAGGTTTGGGTTTAGGGTTATATTTGGAGTGTTTTGAATTTAGTTTTTCTAGCGGGGTTTCTTTATTTTCTAGCGGGGTTTCTTTATTGCACTTGACTCCACGAAGAATAGTATGGAATTTACCATTCTAATGGAGATCTCAATAAACAAACTGGATTTTTTTTACCAAACCCCCAAAATACCAGTGCAAAAAAGAAAACCCCGATAAAAAGGTTAAAAAATGCCAAAAATAAAGCAAAACCCGAACTTTGCATGGGGAGTAGTAGTAAATGAATGAATTTTTGAATGAATGAATTTTTATTTACCTGTCTTGCGACTTTTGTCGTTCAGCCCATATGGGCTTATAAGACACCAAAACATAAACATGAACATAAACATAGGTACAAAAGTCATATAAACATAAATCCATGTCCGTATCAAACAGTAGTACTGCGTATAGAGCTTATTCACCACACGTCATCATGACGTCATGACCCCTCATGTCCCGTGCGACGCCATTTTGGGGTGCATCTCTACAGCGAGTTTCCAAGCATTGAAATGGCCGACAAACGTTAGGTAAACTGTCCTTTGTCCTATTACACGAAGAGTTTACCACCACTCATACCTCTCGTTACTGGAACAAAATAAAATCTGTTGGGATTGACCCGTTTCTGTTGAGTTTTGATCAGTCTGATCGAGACGGCGTCTACTAATGTAGTGCATGTTATTGTTAACAAATGTTTATCGACCTTCACCGTCTGTAAAAGTTACTAAAAAACAACTGGCCGAACTGAAACCCCTGATACACCATGAAAGACGGGCAAATAGTGAGCTGTTTGCTTAATGTTGTTACTGATGCTATGCAGCTTCTTTGAGGGTAACATTGCAACGGTTAGTGAACTGTCCCTTAGCCTTTATGCTTTTCATGCAAGGGTCTGGGCTGGGTGGCAGCCAGAGACCGGACGACCTGGAGGGCCGTATGCAGAGGCGCTACGCCCCCTGGAGGGGCATGATGAGCTGAGTGAGTGAGTGAGGGCTTCTGCTTACGCTTATTAACATGCATCTATTTGTAGGCGTTCGTTTTGTAATCCAGGTATATTTTTTGTACCCATACCTATTGCGTATGGATACTCAACTGCCAATAATACTAAGTACTTTCTTTTTAAACCTCCTTGGTACTGCATACTGTAGCTATCAAACATTTGTCAAATGTTTGGATGAGAGAGTTTTTACACCCGATCATTAATGGACGGTCTGGCGTCCAGGCGGGATGGAATCCAGATGTGAGAATTTGTCGGGGCTAGCGTAGGGGTTTACAGTATACTCAAGATTAGCTTATTCTTATTAGATTTACGCTTTCCTCATCACCAACACCAGAATCCCTTCATAACAGTGAATTCGTTTATTCGGTCCGTAAAATTGAACACTTGATTGCGAGAATAGTTCATATTCAATACACGACACACAACATAATCTCGTAACCCCCTAACGATCCTCACTGTTTACGTTTTCAACTTCCAGTCAGCAGCTTCTTATTTCTTCTGTAAACAATAATTTGGAAACCAAACGTAGAATCTAGAAATTTCTCAGATAATTCCACATCCACACTACGTCTTTTCTTTACGCAGCTGCACCGAAACAAGGAGCTTCAAAATGTTTGAATCTTCTTGACTGAATTATAAACAGCACGGCCGAGATCACACTCACACAGTCTGGTCCAAACTCAAGCCGTCACACAAATATTATGAACCGTTGTTTGCCAACTCTACAAACCTCTGAATGCCAACTACATGCGGACTTTTCCTACCTGGCAGCTAGTTGATACACAGTCCGGGCCGAGTCGCCCGTTGAATCACTGCAAAACTCCTCCAAAGACGGAAAACTGCTCAAGATGCCGTGTCGTTGCGGGACAGGAAGGCGTGATGCCGTGACCCGGAAGTACTCCCCATGCAGCCAGAGGTCAAGTCTCGTTACCTGATTACCCAACAAATGTGTACGGGCTTTGAAGCAAAGCAAGGCTAGGAATCTGGCAGAAAATCACACGATCTGGACATGCCAGGGTCACGAATGTTGGATGGTAGATAGCTCTTGGGTCTGAGAAGAAGAAAACTAGCTTTTTCTGGAATTGCAGGTCAATTTCTTTTACAATCTTCAAAGGAGGCTATCTCAAGTATGAGCATACAGAATCTGAGATTATCGCGATTTTTTTGTCGCCAGCCCATCAAGCCTTGGGCCCTCTGTGACCAATGGATAGAGCCTGGTCAATTTGATACTGTCTTTAAGTAACGTTACCCTAGGATCTTCTTCGAGAGTAACCATCTACATCTGTTGGGTAATCAGGTAGCGAGACTTGACCTCTGCCTGGGAGTACTTCCGGGTCACGGCATCGCGTCTTCCTGTCCCGCAAGGACGCGGCATCTTGAGCAGTTTTCCGTCTTTGGAGGAGTTTTGCAGCGATTCAACAGGCGACTCGGCCCGGACTGTGTATCAACTAACTTCCAGGTAGGAAAAGTCCGCGTGTAGTTGGTATTCAGAGGTTTAGAGTTGGCAAACAACGATTCATAATATTTGTGTGGCGGCGTGCGTTTGTGCGTGTGATCTCGGCCGTGCTGGAGATTCAAACATTTTGAATCTCCTTGTTTCGGTGCAGCTGCGCAAAGAAAAGACGTAGTGTTGATGTGACATTGTCTGTGAAATTTGTGGATTCTACGTTTGAATGTTTGGTTCCCAAATTATTGTTAATAGAAGTAAGGAGCTGCCGCCTGGAAGTTGGTAACGTAAACAGAGTGAGGGTCAGTAGGGGGTTACGAGATTATGTTGTGTGTCGCTTTGAAAAGGAGCCAAATTAGTCCCGCAATCCCCTGTTCAATTTTACGAACCGAGTAAACAAAGATACTGTTATGAAGGGATTCTGGTGTTGCCGATAAGAAAAGTTTTAATCGCAGACAAATGTAATCCTGAGTATACAGTAAACCCCAACGCGAGCCCCGACAAATTCTCACATCTGGATTCCATCCCGCCCTGACGCCAGACGGGAGAGTGTGAAAACAACGGGGCGGTTCATCAATGGTGGGAGGGTGTAAAAACTCTCTCACTACAACTTTTGACATACCGGTAGATATTTAATTGCTACAATATATTATACAGTACGAAGGAGGTTTAAAAAGAAAGTACTCAGTACTACTATACTCAACTGCCAATGACAACGTCATCATCTCATGGCAAAAATATATACTAGACTAGTATATATTTTTGCCATGAGATGATGACGTTGTCATTGGCAGTTGAGTATCCATACGCAATTGAGGTATGGATTGCAAAACCATACCAGGATTTATACAAAACGATCGTCTACAGTCGTCACAAATAAGCCGAAGTTCACACCCTTGCATGATGCATTTTAAGACCAAGGGACAGTTCATTAACTGTTGCAATGTTACTCAAGCTGCATAGCATCAGTAACAACATGATACAACATGATACTTCTGTATAATGTCCTTTGTACATACAGTAAAGACAGCTCACTATTAGTGTGTCTTTTATGGTGTCTAAGAGGTTTCAATTTTGCTAGTTAAGTAACTGTTACAGATGAGCAGTTGTTTACATGCCCTTTAAAACTCAACTATATTTTTTATTATTAGCACTGCTCAACTACATATATTACAGCATGCTTTATAGATCGCTTGTTTCTGTTGTTGATCCAGCTCTCATTGTCATGGCAACAACAGGCAGCAAAGGAAGTTTGGAGGACGTCATGAGAGGATCAGCAGGGGGTTCTGCCAACACCGTTTTCACCTGGCAAGGAGGATCAGCAGGAGGTTCTGCCAACACTGTTTCCAGCTGGCAAGGAGAAAGCTCTGGGGAGTCTGGAGGGAGGCAGGACAAAGCTGTGAAAGTGTTCAGCTGTGAGGAGTGTGCCAAGCAGTTTGGTTGTCTTAGTGCTCTGAAGACACACATGCGGACTCACACTGGGGAGAAACCCTACAGGTGTGGGGAGTGCAGCAAGCAGTTCAGTGTGCTGTGTAATCTGAAGAGACACATGCGGACTCACACAGGGGAGAAACCCTACAGGTGTGAGGAGTGTAGCAAGCAGTTCAACTGTCTTAGTGCTCTGAAGACACACATGCGGACTCACACTGGGGAGAAACCCTACATGTGTGAAGAGTGTGTCAGGCAGTTCAGTCAGCTCGGAAGTCTAAAGACCCACATGCGGACTCACACTGGGGAGAAACCCTACAGGTGTGAGGAGTGTGCCAAGCACTTCAGTTGTCTTAGTGCTCTGAAGACACACATGCGGACTCACACTGGGGAGAAGCCCTATATGTGTGGGGAATGTAACAGGCAGTTCAATCGGCTGGGTAGTCTGAAGAGGCACATGCGGACTCACACAAGGGACAAACCCTACAGGTGTGAGGAGTGCAGCAGGCAGTTTAGTGAGCTTGGAACTCTGAAGAAACACATGCGGACTCACACAGGGGAGAAACCCTACAGATGTGGGGAGTGCAGCAGGCAGTTCAGAGAGCTGGGTAATCTCAAGACACACATGCGGACTCACACAGGTGAAAAACCTTACAGGTGTGATGAGTGCAGCAGGCAGTTCAGTGTGCTGGGTCAGTTAAAGACACACATGCGGACTCACACAGGGGAGAAACCCTACAAATGTGAAGAGTGCAGCAGGCAGTTCAGTGAGCTGGGTAATCTGAAGAAACACATGCGGACTCACACAGGGGAGAAACCCTACAGGTGTGAGGATTGTAGCAGGCAGTTCAGTGTGCTGTGTAATCTGAAGAAACACATGCGGACTCACACAGGTGAGAAACCCTAAATGTGTGAGGAGTGCATCAGGCAGTTCAGTGTGCTGTGTAATCTAAGGGGACACATGCGGACTCACTTGTGAGAAACCCTACAGGTGTGACTGAGGAGTTGAGATGTGAGCCTAGTTAAATCAAACAGGGAAGAAACTCTAAGTGTGAGGAGTGCAGCAGACTGTTAAGTCACCTGGGTCATTGCAAGAGACACGCGCAAACTCTAGTGGGCGATTTGTTGTGTGCAAGAAGGTGAATCATGTGAAACCAGACAAGAAAAAACTCATGGATGGAAGACATGGTGTTGTCCATATGTTGTATAGGACAACACCACGAGCAAGTTGAGTATTCAGGGCGAGTTTTACATAAGATCTTGTTCATTTTCCGTAGTATTAGAAATCAAGCTGGTAAAGGAAAGTCCATGTATTAGCTCTTCATGATGTACTTCAGTCACTTTAAACTGTGTGTAAACTTTGGTTAAGTGCCTTTCACAGAATATATTGTTCCTTGGAAACGTCATACTGCACGCGGTACATCTGGTTTGTAGCATGCCATGATATAGCATAACTGATATAGGGGATGTGAAATACAGTATATCAAGCTAACTAACATAAATTCGTTTGTTTAAGTTCTTTTGTTATAGAAGAAAATAGTGGTTTTTATAGATGGAATACCATCCAATATTAGCATGTTATTGTTTATTCTGGTAACCTAGATATTTATAGAATCAGTTTATTTACTATATTAGTTTCTTGTTTCTTGAATAATGGTTGCGGTTATAGAATTAGTGCTTGTGTTTAGAAATACGTTTGTTGCTGATATTCTACTGTGTTACATTTTGTAGCAATACAACCAACAGGTACTTGTTATAGCGCCTAGTATTTACTCTTATAGTCTTAAGTAATGTATCTACGTACTCCACATAACACAGCTGCTATTGAAGACCGGAATACTCGTCTTCTCCATACATTAAAAGCTGGACATACGACATACGAAACACCTCCTAGACCGACGCTGGTGTCTAGATTCCTTCTAGACATGTACACTTGTCATTGTCGTCACTACTGGGTACACATGTATATCTTTTCGGGTTTGGAGTGCTGTGGAGTTTTCATGTTGGTGGTTTCATTGACTTGCACGGTACTGAAAAGAGTCGAAGTCCTTAGGACGGGGCATTAAGCCGCGGTATAGAAAATGTTACTGCTCGCATTGGGAACATATGTCCCGAGACAGAAGTAAAACACACACACACACGCGCGCACGCACGCACACACGCACGCACGCGCACGCACAGAGAGAGAGAGACAGACACGAACGCCGACTAAAACTTCGCCCCGTTGGCCCTATAAATGCCGCCTAGTGGTAGCTATGATAATTGCAAGCTAAGGTATGCGCAGAGTGGAAGGTTGACACCCCCGGATAAATAAACCTCCTGTTTTTAAACTCAGATATGATAATCTCACATCGTCCATAACTTAATGCATTTCTTAAGAAATGGTACAGGCCTGATTTTTTTTCGCATATCGTCCTCAGCCACCGATTGATCTTTCAATGGAAAGCCACTAAGCAAATCCCTGAACGGCTGTATCTACACAGCATAAAAGCTAGAACTTAGTAGATAACAAAGTTTCAAAAACTGCCACCAAAATTCGAACTCCGCGGATGAAAACAACCTCCTCCGCTTCGCCTCATTATGAATCCCATCTCCGCGGAGTTCATTCTGCTAACCCCCGTGTCTCCGTCCACCAGACGTGTCGTTGTGTGGAAGAAAGTATCGAGGGTTTCTCGTCGTCTTTCTACGAGCCTTGTTCGGTTCAGATCGTCGGGATTTCGTAAGTAAAAGGTCAACGACCGAAAATGACATTTGCACATGTGCCGCGTATTGGCGCAGTGAAGCTTTGTGTTAGCTTGTCACTTCTTTATTTTAACCTAGTTTCAGAACCAACACTTTGATGTCGTAGATTCCTATTTTAGTTTTAATGTAAGATTGTCCGGTCGTAAGTTTTTTGAAAAATAGTCGGGCCCGCTGCTGGATGTTATGGAGGCATGCCGGTCAGACGCTTGGTGGGAGGGGCCTATTCACACTGAAACTAACGTAGTTTTCCCCAAACTGTGTTAGGTCAACAAGAGATCGGTGCTGCAGTATTACAAGTAAGTCAGACTCTATGGTTACATACTGCATCTTAAATTATGAAAGTTGAACGGGACGTTACATCATCAGGAGCCAGAAAGGAGCCAAACTAGACTACGGAAGTCTGCCTTATGTGTTGTTTGGATCGCGGACTTCAGTGGCAAAAACAATAATTATAGTTTCTGTATTACTCCTCATGTATCCATCACCTTGCACGATGCGCACTCATACAGCACACAGTAAATACACAGACACGTGTGTTAGGATGGGCGCGAGTGCATGGGCATTGGTTTCCGCTAGGTGCTCTCTCAGCTTCTGGGTAAAGTTGCACTGGTCTTCGTTCCCTTTCTTCTTGAACTTTGGCGTTTCCCCTCTTAATTATGGCTTCACCAAACCACGAAGTGGTTTATATTTGGTGAAACCATATTGTTTTCTCTGCTGTTTCTTCTCCTTCTTCTCCTTCTTCTCCTGCCATTTCTTTAAATGGATTCAGCTTCTTCGTTTTGGGGCCTAAGGTCCTGAAATTTGGTATGGAGGTACAGTGGGCAAATACCCCCAGGCTTTTTTCAAATTTGTGATACAGGCTTTTAGAATGGTTTTATTTGAGTTTTTTGGCTGTGTTATAGCAAATGTATTACTGTGTTAGTGCGCAATGTTTACCACGTTTGGGCATGAGTCACCACAATGGAATGCAGGGCGTCAACCAATAGGCATGCAGCTTTCCTCTATTCTTCTTGCTGATTGGCTGTTGGGATTTAACTTGATTAACACCTGCACAGAGCATTTCCATACTGACAGTATGTCTGTATTCAAGTGTTTTGGTAGGTATTTCAAGCTTTCCTGCTCCAGCATTGGCATAAAGTTTTGTTTTTATTTTGAAAATCAACAGTTTGCATTATGCAATTACAAATCCTAACCAATAGTGTAGGGAATAGCTATCCAACTGTTGTAGTCTTAGTTGTATGTTACTTCATATTATAGTTATATCAATGTAAATCATTGTTTTCCCTTGTGTTTCTCATTCGTTCCCTGCCATGTCGTAAAATGTGGTTAAGCCATCGCTGTATTTGCTCCAAAGCAAATATTGGCCTTTCTAGTCTTCTTTAGCTCGCTCAGTTGTTTGCTGCTGTTTCATGGCTCTTATCAACTCTCCAATCTTCTCATCCATGAGAAGCTTCACTGCGTTGAGAAACTGAGAGTTGTTCTGCTGAAAGTCTGAGAGAGTCTGGGGAGAAAGTCTAGACACTAGGCATTGATAACTATCAAGAGTTTGTCAGCTGTTGGGCAATATAGTTGTCACAAGAGAAGTTCTCGTTCTTTTGAGGAAATCCTCTTGTTACCAGCAGAAAGCAAAGTTGTTAAAAAGTAATAATGGCACTGTCATTGCCAATTTGGAAACCATACACCAGTATTCACATAGCATGATATGGAGCTTGGTAGGGTTGCCGGCCGGAGGTTCTATTGCGTGCGATCTACATTTCATCAGGAAATACCCCCCCCCCAAAAAAAAATACCGATCCCGGAACGCCTGAAAAGGAGGCTAAGAACTGATGTAAGTTTGAGCCACCTACATGTTTGCTTGCTAGATGGAACTGCAGGGCCTTCATTGAAAAATGTTTTAAAGAGGATAACTCCAGAATCGATTGATGGATCGTCGTGATTTTTGACATAATAATACGACAATTATGCAGATATGGATGTAATTTGCATAATTACTGCAAATATGGATGTAATTTGCATAATTGATGAGGACATTCTATATACCAGCTGCATTCCATGATAGGACTATTCAAGAACAAGAGAAACACAGGCAGATATTGATTATGCAAATCGGGACTTAATTTGCATAATTAATGAGAAAATGTTGCAATTTCAGATGTCACAAGCTTGAATAGTCCTATAATGTAATGCAGCTGGAGCGAAGCATGAGGGATGGCACGTTATATCTAGTCCTAGTGCTAAAAGTTAGGCCACAGCAAGTAAATTTTATGGATGACATCCTCCGCAGACTCCAAATCTAATGCGAGCGGGCGAATTAAAAAAAAACAAGGCGGGCCGAAAAAAAACAAGGTTCCTACAAGGTAAAATTTTGACTCAATCATTGTACAAATGGTTTTGATTCAGTAGGAACATCACATATACATAGCCAGCATCACATATCACTGCATCAAAGTCAGAAACAAAACATTAAATCAGAGCCTTTTCTTGTCTCCTCTCTTCCTAGTTATCTGTCATCCACCTTCCGGCATGGCAACAGACACCTTTGCCTATTTTCGGCATGTTGACCACTGTCAGAAGACAACAAAATTTATTGTTTTTTTTCCAAAACCATGCAAAAATGAATGGGCGCGCTGATGTCATCCATAAAATGTACTTGCTGTGGCCTTAGTAAAACTGCACACATCACCTTTGATCAGCTTGCCTGCACCATGTTTCTTCTATTGAAAATTGTGCAGCTTTCCCCAAGTGGCCACGACGGGGAATCCCCGAAGAACGATATGTATATACTGGCTAGCGATTGGCTATTAGCACGTTAACTTTTGATTCCATACGTGTGGGGTGAAAGGGTAAAGGTTTCGGATTTCAGATAAGGCCACAGCAAGTACGAAACCTTTGGACAGACGTACTACCGACAAAACAATTGTATGGACAGCGGAAGTTTCTCATGGTTGTGCTGTGTTACGCATGGTGGAACTGCATAACTGACTACATGTGCCAAATCAACGAAAATAGCAAATAGTTATATCTTATTACATGTACATGTGTTGGTTACAATTACAAAGGCTTTCTATCCTAACAAAACGTTCTTTGATAAGTCGAATATAAATCGGCTCAACTTAAAATGTACCAAATTATTGTTACAACAGTAAAATTCAAACGAAACAACAC